AGAAATTGATTAAATTAAGGTTATATTAAATGAAATTAATATTTTCCTTTTTTTTTGTATTATACATACGTATACGGTTTTAATAAAAATTGAGTTGTTTATATGGAATTAAAAAAGAAAATGTTTTTACTAAGTTTTAATATGTGTCGTAATCGAGTTACACGACTTCGCTCTCATATAAATAATACTCACTCACATTTTCAATTTTCACACCTATCATTTGAGAGTATTCGAATACCTTCGTGGTATAATTCAGACACTGCTGCACTTCCGCCTTCTAACTCTGACTCAGTAACGTCAGCCAAGAAATGGAAACATCAAAGATAGAATATTCGTTCGATTCCAGTCTCGCGAAGCGAACCATACAAAATATGACACACTGTGTTCTCATTTTGACGTGACGATGGAGCGGAGTATGATGGACTTAATCAACAGCGAGAAGCCTCTTACACTTAATAATCTACACATACGCGTATAGAGGTATATGCTAGGCACCCGAGATTACGTTGCAGAGGGACGTTCAGTTTCGCGTGAAACCGGCTAGGTAAATTGACTCTGCCGAGTTCTGGGGATCCAATTCCGGGATTTCGCTGTTGGTCGATTGAGTCTCACTTCCGCCGCGATTCCCTTTGAATGTAATTTGCCTTCGAGCGACCGACATTCGTAAATATAAATTCCCCGCTGGCGGGCTTCGGATTTTTTGCGGATTGCCAAGGAAACCGCTGAATAATATCAGCACTTCGCTCGTGACAATCGACCTCGGCACTTCGCGACCAACTCGAGTATTAACCCATTCACTGACACGCAAATTTCAGGCGATCCGCGTTTCAGCGATAATATTTAATACAGATGTATAATCCAAGTTATTAATTTCATAATATCAGGCGTAGAAACGAGACTTACCATTTATTTATAAAGAAAAACCGTGCAACTTTTTATCTTCCCTCTGTTATACGTTCAATGAGAGCACATATATAATTGTAAAACGTTGTACATGTCGAAGTAATAAAACATAAAAGTGTGTGGAAAAGAGGATCGATGTTTGCTAGTTCAATATTTCGTTATAAATATGTATACGAATAAACTTTACACGTGTATGTATATATGCAATGAAAAATTTATTTAGAAACATCTAACCTACACGAATAAACTTGATACGTGTTTATATTTATATTGAAATATTTATTTGGAAACACAGGAAGGTACGAATACATTAATAACGAGACTGTCTGTCGTTGTATTCAAAGATACACGAGTTGAAGGGAAAAAAAGTCAAACAGAATTTTGCGCAGAATCTTTTTTAAATGAACACGTTGAATAATATTATGCCATTTATCGCGAGTAAGATTACGACGTAAAGGCACCAATTTAGTCTAACTTAATACCGAGCCAGCAAGTAGTGTAGTACCGTTGAAAGGGGCACTTCACTGGATCAAGGTTGTTTGGCTTCTGTATCAAATTATTGGAACAGAATTCCAAATAGTGCCGGTGCCTTACCTGTTAATATCAACGTCGTATTGACTCAAATTTCGACCGTGTCTAAAGTTATATTTGACTACCGATATTAGGTGGTGCGCGTGAAGTGTGAAATTTTGTTCAATAAAACTCTAAAAGTACAATTAATTCACAATTTTGTACGCGTAATCGAAACAGTTGCCACGTGACTTTTTAGAATATTCCCATGACGTCAAATGTCTTGGGGTCAAAGTTACAATCATCTCGAGCCCTCTATCGATAGATATAATTAAAGTGCATTCCTACTTTAATCAATAAAAATATATAGTATTCAAATATTTGTTGCGATTCACTGTGTTTTCTTCCTCCACTGTAATAGAATATTCGTGAATGTATGCATTGTGCTACAATGTAATATTAGATTGGAATACTGCCCAATCGATCCACAGACGAACCTCTTCTGAAAATAAAACAGAAACGAAATGAGAGTATAATTGCAACAAGTGAGTAATTAGTCGTACATGTCTTTCGTGCTTTCTTTCTTCGGTGACTTCTGGACTGGATAGAGCGACGCGTTGACCCATGAACCAGACGGGGTAGTCTCGTATTTCTCGTCTACGTTGTTCTACGTCGCAAGTGGCGGCGACTGAGTTACTATTTATGTCAGCTGCAGAAACAAGAGGCAGAGAACCAGGCACACTCGGAACGTCGTCATCGGCGTCTACAACGGTCTTCTTTTTACCCCGAACGTCTTTGTGTGAGCGCGCTGCGTTGTTGCATCTCGTCTTTTACACGTACCTCGACGACCACCGATCCGACGACGCCCCGACGTCGTCGCAGCCAACTTAACGCGATGAATTTCCGGTTTCCGCTTACCTTTCGATCCGCTCGCGAATAAAGCCAACGGAATACCTCGTTAACATGAAAGAGAATCGCTCGAAGAAAAATTTCAATCAGCCTTTGCACAACACCAATTCCGTTCTCGCGAAAGAGTAATGTTTCGCAATAGGGAAGACTGCGTGAAAGGTTCAAAGAAACTCATAAGAGCAATCTTTACGGAAGCACGAGATTGAATTCCTTGCTTCTTTTGGTTTCAGATTACGTTGGAAAACGCTGTTATCGCGTTGCGTGACAATGGAAACTCGAAACGAATTGCTTTTGCCTTTAATATTTGTTTTCGAGCTAATATTTAATTTATTTAGTTTGTTTGCCAATTTTTAAAGATAAATCCTCGATTTATTACACTTTAGATGATGTGCGCAAGTAATATTATAGATTAAACGAGATCACCGTCAGTTCTCGCGTTGTAACAATATTCGGACATACATAATAGAGAATTTATTGTCACAGTAAATCGTATTAGGTCTGGTCATTATAATCTTGCTCCTATCTAAATGTAACCATAAATGTAAATGCAACTATGAAATCGAAGACATCAATCGTGTGATTTGGCAATGCAGACTCTACGACAGTTCAAGTACCAAGCTATAATAATTAAGAAGCTAGAAAATATGAAACTGTGTCTCCCAATTAATGTTGAATCGCTTGTTGCGGAACCTAATATTGCAGCTTGTCTATGTATTTTTGATTTCTTAGAAGAATGTAAACTGCGGATATAATGTCGAAATAACTGTATTATGTATACAGTATTATGCTACTGTATATATGAAGCTTATCCGAGGTTCTCAAATAATATAAAAGCAAAAATATTCGGACATTATCCTAATTATACTATATTTACCATTACTTCGAATCCCTAATGATGCGTTTTCTCATAAATGCTAGTATCCTGTTTGCAGATAATTCTCATATACACCCGCACGCGCACAACGTAACGGAATAGATTGATTCGAAGATAACAGGAATTATAATCGTTAAACGATCGTCAAAGTTTCCGCTCGAACAATAAAAGTTCGAAATCCGCTCCATTGGCTGAGATTGCTAGTTAAAGGGAAGCTCTTGGCACTAGGAAATGGGGGAAGGGTCGTCACGTATAAGGACGCCTATGGTCGTTTGCGAAACTGGAAGCCCAGTTATCGAAGTCATTAAATAGCCGGTGGGGTAAGTTTTATTGCGGCCGATAATTCTTTGCGCCGCGTCCCGTAGTGCGGAATTGAGGGCGCGTTGCGGTTTATGGTGTTGAGTATGCGGTTCCTTTCTCTTCGCTCTTCTGCCTGCGGTTCTCCTTTTCGAACTTTAAGCTCTTCCAACGTGCCAAGCTCTATAAATCGCGGCTGTTCTTAACCGGGCGATATCGTGGAAACTGCATCGGGAATTTATAGTGATCTTAATTGAGAAATTTGTTAATCTAATTCCTTTCGCCATTGACTCTCATTTCAGCTTTTTCTTCCAACATATATATTACAATTGTTCGATCTATCCGTTTCGCTTCTATTTTTTCTCCCTTTTACTTTTAATTAAGTCGTATTCTTCATTATTCGATTAGTCGTCGACGTTTTGTCTACTGGACTATTTAGAAACAGTCTACAGTTTAGGGAAGAATTTTCTACATTAGTAATTTGTTAATCCAGGTTGACACTAATTCCTGAATGTTGTTATTAGTAGAAGTTTCAGAAATGACACCAACAAACGGTTAGATAAACATATATATTACTAGCTGTGCCCCGCGGTTTCACCCGCATATTCTTAATCTATAAAATCCCTTCTCACCCCTTCAGGGGTTGAATTTTTTTAAATGCCGAAACAGGTGTTTGATTAATTCTATCAAAGAGCATTAAGACCAAGTTTCAGGCAAATCCGACTACAAATAAGATATTCCTCATACAAACGTTGCAACTCCTTTTTACCCCTCTTAGGGGTTGAATTTCGAAATATCCTTTCTAATTCCTTGTATAATCAAGGAAACCTCCGTGCAAAATGTCAGCTTTCTAAGTTCAAGGATTTAGCCTGGACGTTAATTGTAATCAGTCAGGGCTTCATTCTTATATACAGTCAGTGTAAGAAGTACTCGTACAGCAACCAATTTAAAATAAAATTAATAAGAAAAGAAATAAGAAGCTAACATTAAACGTTAATTTAAAACTTTAATTTACGCAAATTCTACTCTAAAAATATGTAGGAATGTTGGTCAATGATTTCTTCCCCTAAAATTGATTAATAAATCAAATACAAGAAGTATTATTTTGAATTGGTTTCTGTACGAATACTTATTACACTGACTGTATATAGATATCATAAAACATATCAAACGTATTATATCATATTCACCAATAAACCGATCACGAATCTTTGCTACTACAAGTTTATTAACGACAATATCCTTAAGAAGCCTGTTAACGATAAATATTTCGTCGATATTTGATGTACGTATGGCAGGGTCGCAACGACCGAACGAGTCCTTAAGAAAAACCATGTAAATATTTCTCCACGGGCGGTCGACCGCGAGAGCTTATCAGTCACGTAGGTACCAAGTTTTGCGAGTTCGTTTGTTTATTACAAGCCCAGCTGTGTCGATTTCCAGGAAACTCTGCCTGTAGAACACATGCTTTTCTGAAAGATCTGGCCAGTAAGTGGGGATGTCATTGCCTTTTGGTAAGGGACTGCGAGACGGCACGGCACTTATCCCGGGACCTTCGAGCAAGCAAGAGTAATCATTTAACGCTGAACATCGGACCGATTTCTGACGAGTTGAGCACTTGTTCAAGATTAATATGGCAGTCGAGGTATTCATATAAATCGAGATTACTTTAGTACATCAGTGTGAAAACGTTTTCGAGGCTCTAACGAAATGTGACATTTTTTAGTCCTCCGCGCTGGATACCTGATCTATGGAATTGCTGTTCCGTCCAAAGGAGCGATCCTGTCGACGAAACGAGCGATTCAGAGACGACTTCAACGATCGAGGTCCAGTCAACGGCAGCCAGTGATCCAAGGCCAACTCCTACACACCAGATCCAGCCAAAGGTAGGCTCGATTTTACAAACTGTTAATAGATCGTTGTTATCTACAGTGGGTGTAGAAAGTATTCGTACACCGATCAATTTCCAAAAAAATATGTAAAATTGTAATTTATTAAGTTATTTTCGATAAACAATGACATTCTACATATTCTCGGAAATCTCTAGAATAGATAGATTACAAAAAGAAATAGCTATTTATGTAAGTTGAGAAATTAACAAGAAAAAAAAAATTAATCGATAGAAACGTTGAAGCAATAAATATTCGCACATATGTTTAATTTTTAAAACTTGATTTAAGAAAAAAGAAATTTATATTAATTTACAAGTATATAATACTTCCTTCATGGGATTTCCTATTGATTTTATAATTATTGTAACTCTTCTAAGCATTAAATTAACTAAATTATTAGTTATTCGAAGTGGAATCTTCTTCAATTCCTCTATTACAGCCATTTTTAAAAGTACTTTACTGAAAATTTGATGTTTTCTAATTCGTACGGAGCAATAAACTAAAATATGTTTACGTTACAAATTCTACTGTAAATGGTTCGTCATAAGAATCGTACAAATACTTATTGCTTCTATACTTTTACCCACTTTTCGCATTTTTTTTGTTAATTTCACAAATTATATTAACTAGTAAATGTTGTTTGGACTATATCTATCTTCGAGACTTCCGAGAATATGTAAAATATCATTGATTATACAAAAAGAAGTTAAGAAACTACAATTTTACACAAAAGTTTTTTGGGAAATTGATCGGTGTACGAATACATTCTACACCCACTGTACATTTCCGATTCTCTTGATTGTCTGGTTGACACTAAACCTATCGAGGATTCGTTTGTATCTATTTCGACCGTAATCGAATCCATGACTAATTTTAAAGACACTTTTTTCAATTGAATGCAAAAATATTTCACGTGGTACTAAATAGAATAATACATGAAACAATTGTATATAGTTTATATTTTCTATATGAGGGCTATGTACAAAAGTTTGGAAACAGTCATTTGACTGGTCGTGGTAGGTTTAGTATTCATTTTCGCTTCGATTACAATGGCAACGTATCTAATCAAACTACACTTTGCATCCTCGAATTGTGTATTAATGTTAGTAATTGTAAGGTTTAGATAACGGTTTCTTGTAATTGATTGGCAAGATATGGCCCTTTATTCGAAACTAGCATTACTCACTTTTCCCAAAAAATTATTTAAAATTCCTTTTATAAAATTATACTGATAAATGAATATTACAGAAAATAGAAGTATCCTTAAAAGAATTATCATTTTAAATTAAAAACTCTCAAATTTGGGTCTTCATATAACTACACTGTCTAAATTACCAATGAAAATTCAATAACCCTTTCGTGAACTGCAAAAATTTAATGAAATAAAAACAGCCAATCAATTGCATAACTTATTTAATGCTTCCATATAACTAAAACTTATTTAAATAATAATTATTAATACCCATTTAATCTCCCTGATAAAATCAATGAAACAAAAATTCGATTCTAATCAATCATAATAAAGAATATTCGTTAAAATTGTATGTTATGAAAAATCTGGCACTTAAAATCGACTTTAAATAAATATAACTTCTAAGCTAAACGTGATAGAGAATTGCGTTTTGCAGCATCGAATAAAAATACGGTCAAATCGCGATACCATGGAAAGCGTAATCTCCCCAGAAATCGTAATAAAGTTAATCATAACATTAATTACGATTTAATAGTTATATTCTTGTCGGTTTTCGTTTCTTCTGTCGTAAGTGAACAGGGATTACGGTATAGTTAACGTTATCAGCAAACTAGTCGCGAGAGTTCGAGTTACTTTGTAATCGCTAATGACACACCGACTTGCCATATTGCATTAAAATGTGCATGTAACCACACTGTAAGCGGTTTACAATCCGTAGAGCGGTGCGGTCCATATTTAGTCAGTACATACCTACACAGCACCGTATGACTAGGGCCTAATAAAGTCGAAACTGTAAGAGGATCATCGTCCGACCACGAGAGGGGTAACCTAAGCGTGCGTAATATCCCACCAGATTGAACAAAACATTACCATCTACACGCTGAGTTTATTCATGTGGTCTTCACGAACAGTTTCTAACGTTGCGAACCACATTTATCGACGAAGTTGTAGGTACAACGACGGTGGAAGTTATTATATTCGTCACAATTTTTGTTAACCTCTCGAGGGACGTCGACGCGTATGTGTACATTTGCTTTTACATTAAAATTACGTTTTAATTTTATTTAAAAATTTTTATTTTATTTAAAAATTGAAACGTTACCTACGATTACCTTATAGAATTAAAACATATACTATATTAAAGTAAGACAACAATTTAATATGTTAACAACGAATTACACATAAAAATTGCTTTGGTTTGTTTATTCTCAATTAGAGCAAAAAAGAAATCCATTTAAAATTCGTCCCTCTAGAGGTTAACTGTCAAATATTTCAAATATTTGATATGTATGTAATACTTCAAATGCTTCAATAATAATTTCTATTACGCCTAAATACCATATTTATCACTGAACATTTTTTGCACCACTTAAGCAAGAAGGATTAATAAATCCACGAAGCTTGTACGTTGTGTGAATATAATTATTTTAGGAATTTCGAACAGACATAGATTGTATCGAAATATATAAAAGAAAAAAATAAGTTTTGAATTTCTAAATAGTGTAAATCTTAAATACATTGGCAATTTCTCCTTTTTCCATAATGTTACTAGTAGTTCTTCTTGCACAATTTTGTTCTCGCCTATATGCTTCACGATATAGTTTATTTAGTGACAAATTATTTAGATTAATTAGCCCTTTGCGCTCGAGGCATTTTTCTATAGAATCATGTCCAGTCCATTTTTATAATAAATTTTTGTAAAACCAAAAACTCTACTTCGAAAAGAAATATCTACGAACATTCGTGACGCAATTTATTATTATTTCAATTAATAATTACCTGTATTCTGAAATAAGAAAAATTGATATTGTACGTTTAAAAAAATCACTTTTAAATTACATATGCTGCCCTAGAGTCGCCACACGAGCGTAAAGGGTTAATAGCATAGGATTAAAAGATTTCACAAAGGAATTAATTTCGTTCTTTTGGACTATGGGTGTTAAAAAAAAAAAAAACAAGAAACAGATAGATAATTCATGCAAATAAAAACGTCAAGTACACGTGACGAATACAAATAAATTCGCGAAGAATCAGTTATCACCGAGTCACCGACACGACGTTCTCATATTTATCAGCGAAAACGTCAACAATTAATAGGGTAAGGTAGAAAAAGCAGGGCGAAGCTCATTTTTACGAGCAAGCCAGACGTAGATACGTCACTCTTTAAATGCTTTATCGTCTGCGGTAGCACGTGATTTCCCGAACGTCACGCGACGGATGCAATGCACGCGAAGCTCTTTTAACGGTTGATGAATGAGCGAAACGTAAGGGAAACAGTGCCTCGTATTGCATTAAATTCTTCAACAGCGATTCCCGTTGTTCAGTTCATCGTTCCAAAGTTTCATCGCGATATTTATTTATCAAGCTGCGAGAACTTGCCCGATAGCCGTGTATTAATCGTCCCTTTTAAAGTTTCTAAACGTTCGATCACTTCTCAACTCGAACGATCATTCCATTCCTCGTTGCGTGGCAGTAAATTCGAAACAGTTAAAAGGGAATAATGTTCCCTCGACAACTATCTCGACTTCTACCTCGATAACAAACGCGCCTCTACTTGTTGTTCCGTGTTTTGTCCAGTAATTGGCAAAGCAGAAAACGGTAGCATAAATAATCGAGCATCAGGGTATTTATAGCTGAAACTATTGCCATTAGCAAAGTTTTCGATACTGCGATTAGTTGGTCGATTAATGCTCTTCTTATTTGCACAGACTCGGCGTTAAATAGACTCTTCTTAACTCTTTCAGTGCTGTGAAATTTGGGAGCGTATGTGTCAGAATTTCCGTTTAAATAAAAGTCGAGATTGTTAGCACTTTAAGCAAGAGTAGCAAATAACTATTGTATTTTTGTGGAAAGGAAACCTAATTTTATGAGAAGAGGGGATCTAATGCTTCGAGGATTCTTAATTCTTTTTGTAGCTTCTGGAGTTACTATTGAACGCTTTTTACTTCTTCTTTTCCTTCTGGCCCTGAGCCAGCTTGCATTATCCTTTTTAATGAGGAAAGGGGAATTAGTGATTTGAGTACCAAAGTGAGTAATTTGTTGCTTTTTGCAAGAATGATCAAGCTTTTTGGGTTACTCTCGAATGCCTTTTTTTTTCTTCTTCTTTTCCCTTTTGGCTTTTCCACGGAGTTTACAATATTTGTTTGCTGGATATTCAAGTGCAAAGGGGATGGGGAGGTCGGATATCTATTCGACGTAGCCACGAACTTCTCTCAAGGGTGTACGTACGCCTCTTGCGCATAACGGGGCACGCTTAATCCCTTAGGACGACTCAATTTCGTTGTGCCACGAACCGCGGGTAAACCCCTTCGATATAGCACGGAAAAGAGGGGTAAACCCTTGGATTCCATATAGGATGGAAGGATTCGTCCTGAAAATATCGGGAAAAGCAGTATCTACGATCTATTGTTTCGACGTAAAAAGGTCGTAGTGCGCGCTGAACAATGCGGACAAACCGATCCCCTGCCCGCGGCTTATCTCTTTCGGTTTTCGGTGTGCTTTTCACGAAGGTAAGCTCCGCCAATAAGCTCGACCAGTCCAATATATCGACGTTGAATTTCACTCTGTTTGTTGAGAAATAAAGCGCGAATAATACCTTTGTTGCAACTCTACGTAGCTCGCGGACATGGCGTGAATTCTTCCAAGCTTTCAGAAAACAACGATCAAATTTTGGTGTGTGCAAGAACCGGATAGGTTCAATGGAAAATCAATAATTTTTGTTCGTATCCACACACGAGGCATGTGAAATCTCCGCATGCGATTCCATCCATTATTTTATTCGGTGTAGGAATTAATTCTGTGC